TTTTACACTGCACTGTAGGGCTTAAATACATAGATTTGGGCTTCTGTCTTAAGTAGCAGAAACTCAACTTTTTTTGGTGTCGTTTCTGCAATGGCTGTCCCAAGTGCTGCTGAGCAGCCAGAACTTGCTTCTTCATCTCCCAGGCTTTTGCATGCTTCAACCCTCACTAGCTACATGTCATCAGGGAAGGATCTTTAGAGCTGGGCGTTGGGGTATGATGGGTCCTGGATTAACCAGGAGATCTTGAATGATCTAAAAATAAAAAAGGAGTCATATAAAAAGTTCTGGGTGCCACATTTCAAGAAAGATGTGGAGAAATTGGAGAGGGTCCAGAGAAGAACAACAAAAATGATGAAAGGTCTAGAAAGCATGAGCTATGAGGGAAGATTGAAAGAATCAGATTTGTTTAGCTTGGAAAAGGGAAGACTGAGAGGGGACATGATAGCAGCATTCAAATACCTATAAAGATGTTACAAGGAGGAGGGAGAAAATCTAGTTTCCCTCATGTATGATGATAGGACAAGAAGCAATGGGCTTAAATTGCCACAAGGGAGGTTGAGGATGGACATTAGGAAAAACTTCCTTAGTGGGTAAACACTGGAATAAATTGCCTCGATAGGTTGTGGAATCTCCATCACTGGGGATATTTAAGAGAAGATTAAATAAACATCTCTTATGCATGATCTAGATAGTGTTTGGTCCTGCCAGAAAAGCAGGGGATTGGACTTGTTGACCTATTGAGGCCCCTTCCAATGATAATATTCTGTAATTGAATGATCATCCTCATGGAAAAGTCCTATCAGATTTAATGGGGTTCTAGAGATATTATTCTAAAAACCAAAAGTACTTGGAAACCCCACTTGTACGGGTTTTCTTTGAACCACACAATAGAAAGTGAAAGCTTGGATAGCATTCTTTTTTAAAAGGAATTTGGCATGTTCCAGATGGGTCATGCATGCCCCTGCAGGCTCTGCACATCTTAGCTGTTCCCCTGGACACATTAAAAACATAAACTCTTCTGAGAGCTGAGCGTTCCACAGCTTTGAAATCTTAGTTAAATTGCACCGTCACTTCCTGAGCTAACTGTTAGTTCTTGGAGGTGGTGCATGCTTTGGAAGAGGGACTGCACTGAACGACAATTCCTCTTGGCAATTCTTAATACTTATGGCTTGCACTGGCGTGTATCCATTTAGGAAGCTGGGTGAGGGTAGCTTTATAGGCAGCACAGAAAACAGGCACAAAATTAGTATTATAAATTGCCTTCAGAGTATTGTCCTGACTCTTGATTCTTCTAAAATATACAAACACATTCTACCAGAATGATTTCATCCAGTCTGAAAGTTCTTCCCTTAGAATGTCAGCAGAAAAAAATACGGTGGGTCTTGCCAAAAACCATCAGCATTTGTATGTATTGGGCTGATCAAATGTTGTGGAAAATGTTTTGAGGACTGGCCCACGCATTTCTTTACATATTAACACTTCCCCCCAATTTTAATACAGTCTGCTAGTTAGGTTTGCTTTTGTTTGGTTTGCAATATTCCACATATTCCACATGGATCAAAATGTTACTTTGGCCCTGTAAAATGTAGCTCTTACTATCAGGTATAACTAGACTATGCAGAAGATTCAGAAGAGGATCTTCTTCTGATCTCACTTTTGAAAGTAGAGCTTTCGAAAGTGAAAGTAGTCTAGATGCAGGTTTTTTTGTCCCCCTCCCCTTTTTTCGAAAAGTTGCGTAAACCTCATTTTTTGAGGAAGAGCG